TGGAAAAGCGAGAGACACTGGATTGGCTCTCTTTAGTCTTCTGAACCTCTAGAGCTTCAGTTAGCTCCGGAGAAGGCAGGACACATGGTGCCTGGCTTGTTAAAGGCAAGGAGAGCTTCTCCATGCCTGTTTAGCTATCTGGAGTGGTCCAGGACTCCAGAGGTGCAGCGGGCACCTTGTTTTGCCACCAAACAGGTGGCAGTGGCCATTTTGGAGACAGAGAGAGGCTTCTCCCTGCCTTTACAAGCTTTGGAGTTCCTTTTGAAGAAGAGGGCAGATTAGGAGCACCAGGCATTGGGAGGCAAGGAGAAGCTGTTTGAGCCTCTGGAGCATCTTTTGGCTCTGGAGTTAACAGAGGGTGCCATTTTTTGGCGCCAAACAGGTGGCAGCTGCCATTTTGTAATCAGAGCAGTTGGTGTTGTGAGCGCCATTTTGGGTGCCGAGCAGGTGGTGGATGCCATCTTGAGGTCTAATTTGGCATAAAAACCAATAATTTCTGGTTGGTCATAAGTGTAAGACAGTCACTAATTGCAAATCATTGGGTCTAATTGGAGCTGCCCCTTCTATATCTACTCCAGCAGAGTCTCTTTAGGCTTCCAGGTCTTCTGCAGTAAAGATTTCAGCTAGTTTTCAAAGATAGGCAGTTAGTATTTAGGCCAACTGATCTCTTCCCTCAGCAAGGAACTGGCTGCCCTACCTCGCTAAGGCTTGAGGTTTTGGGCACAGGGACCAGTGGGTCTCTTGTTGTGGGCAAGAGACAGGCCCAGGCGTGCCTGTCTAGAGGGGTCACTATCTGCTCTCATTTTCCCAGAAGCCGGACCCTGGTGTGCCCTTAATTGGGATAACCACCTCCTTTGATTAACCTTAAGTAGCTAGTCAGTCAGTATTGCAGTATGGAGGGAGGTATAAGAGAGCCTCATCCCCCTTGTTGGATGACCCTCTAGAAGGCCCATCAATCCTTTGCCTACCCAGCAGGCGCAAGCCCCCTCCCTCTAGGAAAGGAGGCAGAACCAAGGACAAGTCTAAGACCATGCAGAAAGCAGAACCCAGGAGGCAAAAGGCCCTAGACAAACAAATTGCCAAGGTCCAAAAGGAGGCGCAGAAACAGTTGGAGGCAGTGTCCCATGTGGTAGCAGTTACCTCTCCTTCTGAGAATTCTGCACCGGCCAAGGCCCCAGACCCTGAGGAAGTTCTATCCACAGACAGTGAGGAAACTGGAATTGAGGATCTAGATACGGAGGAGGCCATTCCTCCCTCTACCCCTGAAGGAATGGACAGCCCAGGACCCACAGGTTCTATAGCTTCTTCTATGGCACAGGTAGCTGCCGGCCTGCATAACACTGCATCCTCACCTGACATGGCACCCATTATTACTGAGGCCATTAGACAGGGTATAGCTGCAGGCCTCAAACAAAAGGCCTCCTCTGCCTCCAAGAAATGTAAGAAAGCAAAAACGAGGACACGATCACAGGACCAACCAGGGGCGGTCCCAGAACAGGAGGAAAGGTCCCAGGGATCTTCAGTCAGCTCCTCCTCCTCAGAGGATGAGGAGATCCAGACCTTTCAGGACTCTGAGCTGTCAGATGATGAGAATTTGGATCTAGAACAGACCCCATTAGCTGGGCTATTCAATCCCTCCATGTTTCGGTCTCTTTTGATTAAGGCTCAGAAAATAGCCAATTTAGACGCTGCTCAGGCCACTAAGTCTTCTGCGGCCAAAAGGGATTCAGCTGGACTTGTATTCACTGAGCCCATTGTGCAAAAGGAGATCATCCCTTCCCCGCCTTTCTTTCTGGACATCGTTCAGCATCAATGGAAGTCCACAGGGTCAGGTTTCTTTCCCTCGGCCCAGGACAAACGGTTTTACAATATTGGTTCTCATCTAGCCAAGGCCATGGAGGTCCCCTCAGTGGACGCTCCAATAGTAGCATTGTCCTCACCCAATGTGGTCCCCAGCAATCCAGAGGATGCCCTAAAGGCAGAGGATAGGTGGACAGAGCATGTTCTCATTAAGGGCCACCAATCGGCCGCCTGGTCTATCAGAGTGGCCATGGAAGCATCCTTCTTTAACAGGACCACGCTTCTGTGGCTTCAGCCATTGAGGGATAGGATTCCGGTCTCGGATTCGAGGTCCCACCAGGACCTCAATAAGCTAAAAGCAGCACTGCAGTTCTCAGCAGATTCCTCCGTTAATGTGGCTCGATTTGCGGCCAAATCAGTGGGGTCTGCTACAGCAGCCAGGCGCCTATTATGGTTGCAGCCTTGGCAGGCCGATACCAAGAACAAGTGGTGTCTGGCCTCAGAACCGTTCGCTGGGGATAAACTATTTTGGGGGGGGCGGCTTGAGCCAAGACTTATAGAATCAAAAGATAAAAGGAAAATTCTCCTTTCCGTGTTTCGCAGGGCTGAGAACTGGACTACGCCTTACCATTGCAGGTCATCCTTTCGGAACCCAGATGGGGGATATGGGTTCTCTCATTCAGCCAGGCAGTACTCAGGACGCCAGGGTCCCCAACAGCAAAAGGCAGTACAGGCAAGGGTTACCAATGATTCCTCTCTTCCAGGAGATCTTACTGAGGTACAGGAAAATTTTGTCCCTACCGCAGGCGAAATTGACTGGGACAGGAACTTTCCCATCGGCAGTCGTTTGGCCTTCTTTGCCGGACATTGGGAGGAGGTAACAACAGACACCTGGGTCAGGGAGACGATAAAATCTGGCCTCTCCATAGAGTTTCTCTCCTACCCCCTGACGCGTTTCTGCCTCTGTCCCATATCCTGGGTTCGCAAAAAGAGGCACCTGGTAGACTAGGCCATTCAACATCTCTTGGACATTCAGGCCATCTGGCCGGTTCCGATGGATCACCAGGGACAGGGGTTTATTTTATTTTATTAAACACATTTATATGCCGCCCAATCCCGAAGGACTCCGGGCGGCTCGAACATCAACGGTACCTGTGTTTTTGTTATCGCAGACGCCATTACCACTATCAGGCCCTTCCGTTCGGCCTCTTGTCAGCCTTCAGGGTGTTTACCAAGCTGCTGGCAGATTTGTCAGCTCACCTAAGAGCCCAACCCATCTGGATATTGTGCTACCTGGACAACATCCTCTTGTCCAGGTCCCCCGATCAGGCCCGCAGGGACCTACGGGACACCTTAAATGTTCTGCAAGACCACAGGTTCTCACTAAACATGTCAAAAAGCCATCTAGTTCCAACCAAATGCATAATTCATCTGGGTGCACTCATAGACACTCGAAAGACCTCCAGCAGGGTCTTCGGGGGTTAGAATGGTTGGTTGGGAGGCAGAGCCAGGTGCAGCTTCTTCAGCTGTCCCAGCTGCTAGGCAAGATGGTCTCGTGTTTTGCAATAGTGCCCTGGTCCAGACTCCACAGCAGGCTTCTCCAGTGGTTGCTCCTTCCATTTCAAAAGGACAACAGCAGCTGCTCTGCAGTTCGAATCAAACTTCCCCCCAGGGTTCGCAGATCTCTGACCTTGTGGTTGTCTCCAGCCATAACAAAGGGGTGCCTGTTCCGAGAACCACATTGGGTAACAATGACCACTGACGCCAGCCTGGTGGATCCCATTCTGGATCGGAGGTGGCGCAGGTTCAGTGGACCCACCCGGAACAGCAACTATCAACTTCCTGGAGCTGAGGGCTTTCTGCCTGGGGCTGCTACATTTCCAGTCATCTTTAGCGGGGAAACACGTGTTGGTCCTAACGGACAACATGATGGCCAAAGCCCATGTCAACAGGCAGGGCAGAACCCAATCCAAAACAGTTGATGAAGGAGGCTCAGTTGCTGCTGTCTTGGGTGGAGGAGCATCTCCTCTCCTCGCCATTTGGGCCAGGTCGCAGGCACCGACAACCCACTTCTGGGAACTCACCTGAAGGTTCGGAGCCCCAGTGGCTGACCTCTTCACCACAACCAACAACAAAAAGGTCCCTCAGTTTTACTCAAGGTACACTTCTCCAGGTGCAGAAGGGAGGGATGCCCTTCAATGTCAATGGCCGCCGGGCCTTCTTTATGCCTTCTCTCCATTCCCCTTGATCCAGAAGGTCATCAGCAAGATGCTGGAGGAGTGGGCAGAGTTGATTCTTCTGGCTCCACACTGGCCGCGCCACCCATGGTTTGCGGTTCTCCTGTCCCTGTTGGATTCCCCCCTCCAGGACCTCACTATACCAAGGGGCCATACCACATCCAGACCCATTGTGGGTCAAATTGACCGCAGGGTGGCTGAGCGATGCTCTATGACAGCGGAGGGTCTTTTGCCAGAGGTCATTCGAATGATCCAGGTCATTCAAACAAGCGGCAAGGAGACCTTCCACAATTTGAATCTATGATGCTACTTGGAAGGCCTTCTGCACCTGGAGCCAGGCCAGAGGGGTGGCTGTGCTCCATGCATGGACTTGCCACATCCTGTACTTCCTACAGGATGGACTGACTGCTGATTTGGCATCCAACACCCTTTGGCGACAGGTTGCGGCCCTATCTTCCGTTCTCTGCTCTGACCTTGATAGATTGCTGACTGCCGATCCACTCATTTGGCAATTTCTAAAGGATGCCTCAAATTTACAACTGCCTACCATACATTGCTTCTTGGGACCTACCACTTGTCCTTCAGGGGCTCACCCAGGCTCCCTTCAAACCATTGCAGGACACAACTCTTCTCTACATGTCGCAAAATGTTCTGTTTCTAGTGGCCATCACATCTGCCCATCGGATTTCGAAGGTAGTAGCCCTCTCCATGCGGCAAGACTTGTGCACTTTCTATTCAGACCAGGGTGGTTCTCAGGGTGGATCCAGCGTTCATACCCAAAGTAAACTCTATCTTTCATTGCATGCAGGAATTTGTTCTACCCAACTTCTGCCCGCAACCAGTCCATCGCCTTGAACACAGCTGGCACACTCTAAATGTCCGAAGGGCCTTGAAGATATACTTACATAGAACGTCATCTTTCTGTCATACAGAGTGTCAGCCTCTGCTTTGCTACTGCTTCGGCTGCCATTGCAACGGGGAGGGGGGGCATGGTATTTGGGAGGGGACTAACTGTTGTGCTGGAGGAAGATTCTG